GAAGAGGAAGCAGTGATAGCAAAGATGTGAGAGTGGAAAAGGACGGAACATCTTCCAGAAACTCAGGCCCAGTTTGGCGGGTGAATGGATGGTTGAGGTGATTGATGGCTGACTTTGCATTTGGTAGGAAAAGGAGAGTCATGGGAGAATACTGAGCAAGGGACAGGACACAATAAAAGGGCTGTGGGTTCTGAAAGAGAAAATGTGAGCTTGTGGGACCCAGCTCTGTCTCCTGAGAATAGCCCCTCTGGGTAAGACACACACTAGTTCCTTTATCGCACACAGTTATACTTAGTCCTAGATGGATATTCCACCACCTATCTGTCAATTTGTCATACTGACAGATGGTGGCTTTCATGTAGCTGTGATGCTGGCAGCTTTGCCTTTGGCATTTCCAATACCAACAGGGTCACCCATGGTGGACCAGTTTCAACTAAGCTTCCATACTAGGAAGAAAGGCCTGGCGATCTACTTCCAAAAAGTAGCCAATGAAAACCCTACAGATCACAACAGAACATTGTCGTCACTCACAATACACAGTGGCCACACGATGGCCTTGTGCATATCAATGATCTTCAGGGTGGTACAGCACCAGGTAACATTTTGTTCTGTTATACATGGGGTTTCCAGGAGTCAGAGCTGACTGGACAACAGCTAACAACAAACGGATATTATTTCCAGTTTACAAATGGGGAAACTGAGGCTCAGAAATGTTAAGCTATTTGTCCGATCACACAGCAGATGGCTAAAGCCATTGTCTGATTGACATTAGGTTGTTCTTGGGGTATGGATGAGCTCAGGCAGGGCATGAAGTTTTGAGGGCCCTTGAGGCTAGTTGGATAAGGTTCTGTGGGAGTTCCAACTTTTCTTATCCTGTGATCCTAAGACAGACCCGAAGTCAATTTTTAGAACAGGATTAGGACAAGAATTGTAGGACAGTGTCAACCTGGCCATACCCTTTAACATACCTTCTTCCACTGAGTCTCCCCATATCCCCTAGAGGTAAATGTTATTATTATCTCCATTGTAGAGAAGAGAGAGCAGAGGCTCAGAGAGGTGACGTAATTTACCCAAGGCCACACAATAAAGGTGAGGAGTCCAGGCCAGGCTCTGGACTAAGTCAAATGTCCTGGGCCCTTCCCACTTCTTTACATATAAATCCCACAGGTTTACTTCTAAACACACCTAGAATGGGGAGGAACCTAGATCAAAAGCCTAATCCTTTTCTCCAAGTCATATCCATCGAGTCATCCTCCTTCATGCCCCTTTACCAGGTGGGTCCCCAATTCCAGTTGCTTGTCCCCTCTTTGGTTAAAACAGACCAGATTATACTGGGCCTCTCTGGCTCCATCCCTAGCCAGAAGCAGCATCTCCACTTCCCGAATTGGGTGCCTCAGTGGCTACAACTTTACCACCTCTCTCTGGGCAGGTGACCAACACAGACTCCTGACCTGAGCCACTGTGTGTTTGTTGGTCTTAAGGGATGATGGCCTTTGCTGAGCTAGGGGAATACTGGGGCCCCTGTCCCAACCACACCTACAGGCTTCTCTCATTAGCTTCTGGCTTGTGGTGACCTCCCCAGGGTCTGATGCCAGATCCTGCAACACACAGTGTCATAAAGAAATAAGAACTGCTCTATTGGGAAGGGGACAACCAAGAGACTGGGGGAGTTATTGTAAAAAGTCAAGGAAAGGTTTATCTATGGAAGGAAATTTTCTTTGTTGGTTACCAGGGGTGGGAGTGGGGAGGGAGGGAACACTGTTAGGTAGAGATAAGTATTTATTTGGGTGAAGAGAAGGGCAATGTACCAAATGTGAGTGATCAATACGATGGCATGGAAGAAGAGGAAGACATAGAGAGGCACATGGGAGGTACAGACAACAAAGATTATCCCTTTTGCATATACAGTACTGCATTGTCAGTGAAGGCAAACATGGATATATGGGTGGATAGATGGATGGATGGGCTGAAGTATTAGGTATGTCTATGCACGAGGGAGTATGCCCAAGACCATGTATAGGATTGGCAGACAATGTTTCTACAAGTCTATTGCTATGTTCTGTAACAATTCCCAGGTATATAGTAGAGCTGACAAGGGACAAGGTTGTAGTCACTTCTTGGTCACAGCCAGCTACCCAGAGAGAGTAAGTAGTTGGACCTGTGGGCTCAGGACCATGGTAGCAGGGGACATCAAGCTCAATTGGCATAAGATACTACATAAAACATTGTTCCACCTCCTACTTTGGCGAGTAGCGACTGGGATCTTCAAAGCTTACAAATGGCCATCTAGATGCAATGATGTGTCTCTCCTCGTCCAGAGCAAAGAAGAATGAAGAAAACCAAAGATTCATGGAAACAATTAGTCCAAGCAACTGGTACACCATGTGATCCCCAGCCTCTATGACTACGAGACCAGCAGAACTAGATGGTGCCCATCTGCCACTGTCAACCCTCAGAGGGGGATCTATGTAGGAGATTCTGGATAGAGAGGCAGAACAATGTAGAACAAAACTCAAAATCATTTGGGGAAAAAAAAAGGGGGGGACCAGGTTTGCTGGTCTGATAGAACCTGGTGGAACCACTGAGACTATGGCCCCTAGCTGTCCTTCAGGTCTGGAATTGAACCCACACCTGTGACTTCCAGCCAAACAAAAGATAGGCATAAGAGTTGAGCATTTACCCAAGGTAGATACACTCTTGAAGAGTACAATCATGGGAGAAAGAAGGGCTGTTTATGCACAGGGAGACAGCTCAGGGGGCAGGAGTGCATGGAGGGATGGATACAGGGAAGAGGTAACTATGGGGAGGAGGGAAGAGGGGAGCTGTTGCATTGTGGTAAATTGTAGTCAATGTCATGAGACAAAGTGTATGTGAACTGCTGCATAGAAAGTGAATTTTCTCTGTAAACTTTCACCCCAAATAACAATAAAATTTAAAAAAAGAGAGAGAGAGAAATTGATTGGGGGAATCATAATGAGAAGGGGTGGGTGGGTTCCATCTCTCACTTGAGCCTCAAGTCAGCCACAAAATAGGCAATTATATACCCAATGTACAGATGTGGACTCAGAGGCTCACTTGGGATCTTCCAGCAGCAAAATGACAGTGTTGGGTTCAAGCCCACTTCTCTGTGCTCTTCCAGAAAAGGATGAGAGGAAAACTCCAGTGAGGTCAGCAGACACCCAATTCTATGGTTATACTGTGCCATTACCACTGTAATATTTGTAGTAAACATTTTTCTTTTTAAAAATTTAAAAAATTGAGTAGGGATAAATATAAAGAATGTTCTTGATTTTAAAAAGTAGGACAAACCTTAAGTTGATGTGCAGTGAAAAGTCAGCAGCTGTAACATTCTATGATTCAATGCACAAAATATGTTGAGTTCCTCAGCTGAAAAAGTAGTATAAACAAATAAAGCATTTTTTCTTCCTTCCCCCCCCCTTTTTTTAAAGATACTGGGAGGGTGTTGACATTATCTGAGATATCTTTGCTGCCCTCAACCAACGTTCATGTGAAAAAGAGAAAAATTCCCTTAAAAAAAAGAAAGAAAGAAGAAAGCACGCAGTGCCCTCAACTTTTATAGAACCTGGGCACAAAGTTCGAGAATGTGTGGACGCACAGGAGATGCAAATGCAGAACTTGCCTCTGATGATCCAATCTACAGAGCAACAACACAGGGCGAGGGTGAAATCCCCTCTAGAAGAGGGGAAGAAACCACAGAATGTCCCTGACTTGGCACCCGGCCGGGTGGCACAATGTTTACGTTTGTGTACCTAGTGCGTCGACGTTGTCTCAGCCGGCTCCGCTGCCCAGGGGCCGCCTGTAGGGTACAGGACGCCGGAAGGGCACGGGTCTCCTCAATTAGGTGGGGGTGGGGGTCCAGGCCCTGAAGCGCCAAGGGATTGGATTTCGAGTTCAGTCCAAACCGACCGCAAGAACTCGAGTGTGGGTGGGTGGGGAAGGTGGGCCGGCTCCTGTTTCCGTTGGGACCCCAGAGCCCAACGCAAAGTAGACGCCCGTCGGTCCATTTTTGTGGAAGTAGGGATGGAAAAACTGTGTCTCGAGCGATCATGACGAGAAACGCCCTGGGGGCGCTATCGAGCCGCGCTGGGTGTCGCCTCTTCTCCCAAACGTCAAACCCGGATATCCACCCGGCGGTCTAACGACCCTCCACTCAGATTTCAGCCCCTTGACCTGCCTTCCCCGGCTCCAAGTATTCTAGTGACCATATGACTAAGAATAACATTTTTGGTGGGGGTGTAACGACAGTGCTTTTTACCTGTTAAATGCCAATTTTTAAAAGGTACAAGGATTAGAGAAAGTTGGGGAAACAGGAAACTATTTCCCTGACCCTTCCACCCCACTTCATTCTTTGATGATTCCTGGTAGGAGCATTTCTATGGGCAAAGTCGTTATTTTTTTCCTCTAACCCTCATCTCAAGCTCCTCTGGGCCCCTGGCTTCACAATTTCCCAGTTGTGTGATGCTGGGTAAGCAAATCGCTTCTCCTTGGGACCCGTCTCCAAGCCTGTAAGAGACGAAAAAATGCGAGAAAGAGGCACAAGTGTATGTAAAGGTTCAGGCAGCCCCCTTCTGCTTAGGTTGGCGCGGAGGGGCGCAGGGAAGGCAAGAGATGAGGTGCAGGGGAAAGGGAGAGAGCAGAGCGGGAGGAAGGCACTTTGCCCGCTCTCCGGGCCGCTGCCTCTAGGAGGTCAGCTCTAGACTGGCAGCGCCTCCTCCTCCTCCTGCTGGGACCTGAGAGCTGCGCGGGCCAGGTCCCTGGGGACGTATCGGGCCCAAGCCGGCCGGCAGGCGGGGGGCCTAGCCCGAGCCAGCGCGCGGTGAGCGGACTTCGCTCCCGGGCCGATGACGTCTTCTCTTCTGGCTCCTCTGGCGCCCGGCTGGGCCTGGCAGGTGACGTCACCACAAGGTCACGTGACAGCCATTCAAACAAACAAACTCCCACCCCCAACGCGCCCATGGCCCCGCCCCGGGAGAGACTCTTATAAGCCTGCTCCCCCGGGCTCCGCTCGCTGCGAAGGACACACGGGCTGGAGTAGCGGCGTGGGCAGAGGGGCTATAGGGACAGTAGCAGGAACCTGAAACGGCTCGTAGACCAGCCCGACGCCCCTTTGCTCGGTACAAAGGCATTTTCTGGTTCGACGCAAACAGACCCTGGGTCGGGCTTTTCCTCGAAAGCCACCGTCCCCGCCTTTGGTTTCCGAGGACAAAGGGTACCGGAGTGATCTGCACACTGGGGGCGCTGGGACAGGCCATGGTCATGGAAGTGGGCTCCCTGGACGCCGGAAGCTTGCGGACGCTGCTGCGGGAGCGCGCGGCTCACTGCCTGCTGCTGGACTGCCGCTCCTTCTTTGCTTTCAACGCGGGCCACATCGCTGGCTCGGTCAACGTGCGTTTTAGCACCATCGTGCGACGCCGGGCAAAGGGCGCCATGGGTCTGGAGCACATTGTGCCCAACTCGGAGCTGCGCGGCCGATTGCTTGCCGGCGCCTACCACGCCGTGGTGCTCCTGGATGAGCGCAGCGCCGCCCTGGAATGCGCCAAGCGCGACGGCACCCTGGCCCTGGCCGCTGGCGCGCTCTGCCGAGAGGCGCGCGCCGCCAAAGTCTTCTTCCTCAAAGGTACGCCCTCCGTGAAGCTCGGGGCTGGCATACACGCCCATTCGGCCTTGTCGGGGACCCCTGGCTCACTGCTCCTGGTGGTTGCTCCACCTGGAGTACATGGGTGCTGTAGTTTTGTCTCTGGGGACTTGTCGTTGGCTTTGTTTGGCCCTAGGAACAAAGACTTGAACCTCTCCCATGTAAACTTCCAGCCCTGGTGGGTGGGGGAGTTATATGAAGGTGCCCTCTCCCAGCGGTGCTAATGAAGAAGAAGAAAAAAACAAATGTCTCTTTGTGTTCCCAGGAGGATATGAAGCTTTTTCGGCTTCCTGCCCAGAGCTGTGCAGCAAACAGTCGACCCCCATGGGACTCAGCCTCCCTCTGAGTACTAGCGTGCCTGACAGCGCTGAATCAGGGTGCAGTTCTTGCAGCACCCCACTCTACGATCAGGTTAGTTGGGGCCTGTACTGGAGGGGAGAAGAAACAGCTGGCAAAGGCCTGGAAAAGCAGTGCTGGTGAGAATATAGAAAGTGACCTTCAGCTTTATTTGTGAGCGAAGGGACATAGAAATTTCTTTATTCCATGACTGCATGCTCTGATAGAGCTGTCTGTAATTGCTGGCACTGTAGAACTGAACTTGTTAGCCCTGCCCTGTTGAGGCAATTGATCTTATCTCCTATTTGCTGATCCTCCAGAAACAGTGTTGAGAAGTTCACCTGGTATATGAAATGGATTTTTCTAGCAGGGAGTTTTTGTGGGTATGGGCACTGCTGTTGACTTTGGGCAAGCTTGACAAGTGTTGGATACTTCTGCATTTCAGGGTGGCCCAGTGGAGATTCTGCCTTTCTTATACCTGGGGAGTGCCTATCATGCTTCCCGCAAGGATATGCTGGATGCCTTGGGCATCACTGCCTTGATCAACGTCTCAGCCAATTGTCCAAACCATTTTGAGGGTCACTACCAGTACAAGAGCATCCCTGTAGAAGACAACCACAAAGCTGACATCAGCTCCTGGTTCAACGAGGCAATCGACTTCATAGGTAAAAGAAATGGATGCCTGGGACTTCTCTGCCTTCTCCCCCCATTTCAGCCACTGAGCCCAGCCTCCCTGGCAAGGAACTTGAATGAGATTTTTCTGAGCCTGCCTTCAGACATTAAATATGAGTCCGTGTGGGCACCATCCCTACAAAGTAGGGTTTTGATATCCCAGTTGCCAAATGAGCAAGCTGAGGCTCAGATAGATTGATTTGTCCAACATCAATCTACCTAGTGGAGAGCTGCTGGGTCTGGGATGTTAAATCCCTCATTATTTTTTGTACAGTGCCCACATTGCCGCCAAGAACAGTATCCATGTAATGGCATGCAGTAAGATTGAGCATCTCAGGACAGGACATGCATGACATTTTTAGGCACCCAATGCCTGGAGTTGGGGTTTTTGTCCTGAGTTCTTGAGTAACCAGTTGCCCGTTTGTTTTCCAGATTCCATCAAGAATGCCGGAGGTAGAGTGTTTGTCCACTGCCAGGCAGGCATTTCCCGATCAGCCACCATCTGCCTCGCTTACCTCATGCGGACTAACCGAGTCAAGCTGGATGAGGCCTTTGAGTTTGTGAAGCAGAGGAGAAGCATCATCTCTCCCAACTTCAGCTTCATGGGCCAGCTGCTGCAGTTTGAGTCCCAAGTCCTGGCCCCACACTGTTCAGCTGAGGCCGGGAGCCCTGCCATGGCTGTGCTTGACCGAGGCACCTCCACTACCACCGTTTTCAACTTCCCCGTCTCCATCCCTGTCCACTCCACAAACAGTGCGTTGAGCTATCTTCAGAGTCCCATCACGACCTCTCCCAGCTGCTGAAAAGCTACGGGAGGTGATCTGGTCTTCACAACCTGGACTCCAGGCTCCTTCTAGAGAGGCGAAATGCAATAACTCTGAGAAGGGGACTCCTGAGGGCTGGTCCTTATTTATTTAATTTAACCAGACTTCCATTGGGTTCTAAATGGTCACAGTGATGACTTCCTGTCAAGACGATTGCTGAACTCAGCACATTTGGGGCCAATCTATAGTGGGTACATCAAGTCCCTCTGGCAGAAAGGGGCAGAAGAGAAAGGACTCTGTATGAGCCAGTTTCTTTTTGCTTGCCCTCATTTTTTGTAGAAACTCTTCATGCTTGACATACCTACCAGTATTATTACCATTCCTGACGACACATATACACATGAGAATATACCTTATTTATTTTTGTGTAGGTAGTCTGCCTTCACAAGCATCAGTGTCTACTTCTAGAAGAACCAAATACCTCAATTTTTGTGTTTGAGTACTGTAATATCCTGTAAATATATCCTAAGCAGGTTTGTTTTCTTCACTGATGGAAAACATCAGTGTTATTGTTTTGTTCTGTTTTGTTTTTTTAGTTGCCAACAGTTGTATGTTTGCTAATTATTTATGACCTGAAATAATATATTTCTTCTTCTAAGAAGACATTTTATTACATAAGGATGATTTTTTTTTTTATACAACAGAATAAATTATAGTATTTCTATTGAAATCTCAATGCTTTATTTCTTTGGCAGCCCCTCTCCAATCCCCAAACCCCAACCAGTGAAATGGGAGAATTTGGACATGGACCCAAAGTACATGTGTGTTGGGGTCTGATCCCATACCCCTCGTTGACCTCTCAATCTCAAAAGATGGCTGCATTACAAGGGAGGTAGGCAAGTGAAAAACCAGGTACTAATTCTGTAAAGATTTACTGCTTGGAAACCCAATGGGGGTCGCCATGAGTTGGAATCAACTCAATAGCAATGAGTTTAGTTTTTTGGTAGCTGAACTCTACCAAAGATTTTGACCACTTTGGGTCAAAGTGCCATTCATAAAAGTGCCATCCATAATTCCTTTGTTACCCAGGGAGTCCAAGTCTTCCCAGAAACAAAGCTAGGAAGAAATGGCCATTTGCCTGGACTGCCTTTTTTATTTAATACCTTCCTCAGATTGTAGAAAAAGCCTTTCTTTGAGCTGTGCTAAGAGTTGAAAGGATGATAATGTTTTCCAAAACTCTTGACATATAAATCTGTTTCTCCAACATGCAAGGCAATGTATATTTAAAACAATGCCGTAGGACCTTTTGCAAGTGAAGATGTTGAGACTCAGTGTACCTAAGGGGCAGAAGTGGGGCAATTGGGACCAAATATGTGCTTTGTTTCCCAAGTCTATGTGCTTTGCACTTTATCACTTGGCTCTCAAATGCTCTCTTTTTGTTTTCAGAAAGACCTTTGTTTTTGTGGAAGTAATACATTGAATGGTTAGAAAAATTCAAGCACTATAAGAACACAAGATAGACAAATCATGTGAATCCACACCCACACCACCCCCATTTGGCCTTTATTAATGTTTTGGACATCTCTGCCAACATCTCTGGCAGAGTATGCTATCCATAACATACACAGTGCCCTCGTTAGACCATTTGCAGCTATGATTTCATAATTCTTTTGAAGAAGATAGGCAATTAGATCTGACTTGCTCTAGGGCAATATTCTGAATTTTCACTCTTACTAAATAGGCTAAAGCAGAGAGTATAATTGACTACCAGCCTGTCAGCCAGTCTGTAAATGTTGAATCAAGTAACGGTGGAACTCTTGGGTTTCTAGCTCCTTAGTAACTGCTCCAACCTGCTTGTTGCTGGACAAAATGCTGTAGGAAGCAGAAAAGAAAACATCCCTCTTGACCTATCCTGGGGCTCACTGTGCAGTGGTCCTGGCCCAGTACCATTGCTGGAGGTCTTGACATAGAATCAATGCCCTTGACCTTTCCCTACTGGTTAACCATCTGCCACCTGACTCCTAGGGCCTAAAACATCCCTGTGTTCTAAGTTCTAAGAATTCACTTTACACTGGGCTGGCAAGCTCCTTCCCTCAGCCAGGTTTCCAATTGCAAGCAGGTGTGTTTCAAAACAAACCATATCCAATGTTTTTATCAAACCCTAGAAACTTATTATTGCAAATATCTCCCTTTGTGGAAATGTACCAATGACTTGATACTGTGGCTGATGCCATGACTGACTTCCCTATGGGCTCTGGCCATGACTTTCTGCTTGGCAGGCACTGGCTGAACCAAAATTAATATCCACTGTGACCCACGCAGTGGAAAAATACAGCAGCTGCCTAAGGGAGCCGCCAGTGAAAACAATTCACTCAACTTCTCCCAGTGCAAGCAACTCCACTGCCTGCCAGCCCCAGAGAGTCAGGACTGTAAATTCCTTTTCCTTATGATCGAACTCAGTGTTCAGGCTCACCAGAAAATGTCACATTTGGCCTGAGGCTGCTTTTCTTAGGAAAAGAAAACAAACAGTACCTCATGGTGTTTAAACTATATTAAAATGTTTGTTTTCCAGTGGAAGACTGAAATACTACTGTTTAATACTGATAATATGGCCATAATAGCCATGTACCCATCACCGTGCTGCTGAGTGTTCTACACTTTTAATCCTTGACAGCAACCCTGTGGGAGTAATTACTATCCTCATTTTTCAGAAAAGGAAATTGAGGCTCAGAGAGGTAAAGTGACATGCCTAAGGTCACACAGCAAGTGAATGTCATTCCAGACATTGGAATCTAGGTTTGAAAGAAGACTGAAGTCCTAATTCATTTTGGAAGACAGCTTGAGGGAGTGGGGAAAAGATAAGTTTTGGAGCCGACCAGACTTCGCCTTGGCTCTACATGTAATTTGTGGGTGGAAAAGCTATTTATCACTTTTAGGGCTCAGTTTCCTCATTTACAAAATGAAGACCATAAAACTTGCTTCATTTGTGAGGAGAAAGTGGGCTCATGAATGTAAAGTGCCTGGCAGGTAACGGGCCCTGGCCAGTTTAGAAAGTTTACACTCCCTTTCCCCTGTTCTAATGACCTCTGGCAGTTCTCAGGCCTCAGTTTTCCCATCTGAAAAAATGACTGGTTTGCACTGAATCAAACCAGTAAGTTTTCTCCCAGCTCTACAACTCTGGTGGTTGTTGTGTGCCTTCAAAAACTCTAGTGCTATTCAAAAGTCACCTAATTATTTAAGTCAATTCCGATTCATTGGGACTCTGTGGGACAGATTAGAACTGCCCTGTAAAATTTCCTAAACTAATCTTTATGGGAACAGATGATAGCCAGGTCTTTTGTGGAATCACTGGTGGGTTAGAACAGCTGACCTTTTGGTTAGCAGCCAAGAGCTTAACCATTACACCATCAGGGCCCCTTTCTCTAAGTGTAGGAGATACAAAATGCATCAATGCATACTTTATGCTTTTCTGTGGTTTGCAGGCACCCATTATTTCATCATGAATTGATGCAGTGGCTGCAACGATGGGCTCAGGTATAGCAAGGATCGTGGGGCTGGCATAAGACGGCAGGGTTTCGCTCTGCTGTACATAGGGTGGCTATGAGTCGGTGACTACTCCATGGCACCTAGGCACCTAACAACAACAACAAGGTTATCTCATCAGGATACTTCCAACCCCAAATGCCTCTACTGCATCCTCCCCTTTCCTTGGAATTTTGCGAATCTAACTAATTTGCCTGTGATGCCCAGCCTCCTGTGTGCTTTTCCCTCCTTCTCCTGGTTCATCCGAGGATGACCTCATAGTGTGTACACCTTTAAGGTTATATAAATCTGTGATCTTACAGCCTCCATCCCCATGGTAACGCGGAGGAGTTTCCCTTTTGTGAGGAAAGCTGTCATGTCACTTCCTGCTGCTGACAAATCAGTTTAAGAGATTAAACGGGGGGGGGGGGGGGGTATTGCCGGGCGGCCTCTGAGAAGTGCTGGCCACGGTGGTTTTGGGTTGCCATACACAGAGGCAAACAACACAGGGCCAGTTGGCGGCCCCGCCCCGCCGAGCCTGAATCTCTGGTTTCCCACACCTCACCCTGGCCGCCCAGGAAGGCTAGATAACCAGGGATGTTTTTCTCTGCAGGTTGTAGTTTGGGGAGCAGGTAGGAGTGCTGCCCACCTCTTGGGGTTTTCCTGGGGCTCTACAGGGCAAGCCTGTTCTGCAACAGCCTCTGACCAGCCCCCCCTCCCCCCCACTTTAGCAGCTTTGGAAGAGTCCTCCCTGTGTCTTGCCTCTTCCAGAGAACAAAGCCTCTGCGCGTTGCTAACACCACAGTAGACAAAACTGCTTTGCTAAGGAAAACCCCTTAAACCGTCTACTTCTTGACTGTGGCTTTTAAAGCTAAGCAGCAGGTCCATTAATTCATTCATTCATTCAACATATATTTATTGACTCCCCATAGGCCCAGGGATACTTTGGTGCAAGACAAAGTTCCTACTTTCAAGTAACAATGGGGGAGGGTGTAGAAAAGTATATATGTAAATAATTTCTTAAGGACAAAGGCTATGAGGTGGATTAAAAAGGTGGGCTACTGTGGTGTAAGGGGAATCCTCAGTGAGACAGTAGCTACAATAGACTCAAATGAAGATGGCACAGGACTGGGCAACATTTTATTCAGTTTTACATAAAGTTACCATGAGCTGGAGCCAACTCCAAGACAACTAACAAAAACTGTCGTGCAAAAGATTAACCTGCTTGGCGTCTAACAAGAGGTTGGCAATTCACATCCATCCCGAGGTGCCTTGGAAGAAAGGCCTGGCAGTCTACTTCTGAAAAATCAGCCTTTGAAAACACCATGGAGCACAGTTCTACTCTGACACACATGGGATTGCCATCTGTCTGAATTGAGTCCACAGCAACTGATTGGTAGATGTGAGTGGTCAGGGAGATCTCTGTGAGGACTGAATGTCTTTCAGTGGCTCTCCATTGCCTATGGATAAAGGTATGGCAGCCATGTCCAAACCAAATTCCTGACTAATTTCTCATCCTTTACCACTTACCTCAACCTTATATTTTATCCCCACCAAACCACTAACCAATGAAAAAGCAGTTGCTGGGGAAGAGGGATTCAGGCCAGGAAAGCAGCAAGACCTGAAGTTTGAGAGGGATAATCATGAAGCTATGGGAGCTCTGGTAGCATAGTGCCTAAGGTACTTGACTGCTAACCAGAAGGCTGGTAGTTCAAACCCACAGCCACTCCTCAGAAGGAAGATGAGGCAATCTACTTCCGTAGTGATACTGCCTCGGAAACCCAACGAGGGGTCGCTATGAGTCGGGTCCGACTCAACGGCACGTAACAACAACAACAACATGGACAAAACACTTGACTTGGAGTCAGCTGGATTGGAGTTCAAGTCTTGATTCTGCCAATTACTAACTGCGTGACTGTGAGTGAGTTACCGGTCTCTCTGAGCCTCAATTTCCCATCTGTAATATAGTCTAATAATTCCCGACCTTCAAAGGCTCTTTAAGGATTAAATGAAAGTTGGTCAGTCACCTCTGGGCACATGGAGAGGCTTGGGGAAGGCTCATTATCCTCTTATGACTCAGCCGGTTCCCATTCTGTCACTCAAGCAGCAGCACCCCCCTCTAAAGCACCATGGCAAAGGGATAAAGGAGAAAAGTGAGTTGTTTTGCCACCCTGGACCTGTGTTCACATAGTGCTCCTCTCTGGGTCATCAGAG